AGTAAGGTCTTTTTAAGCGTGGATCAATTATTGCATAAAACCTGCAGGAACTGTTCTATATCAGGTTTCTCTTGACTACACCTGCTTTTCATAATTTTCAAGTTTGTGGAACTCTCTGATTTAGCTGATATTCTTAAAAGGATTCTTCATTCCGATTCTCCTTTTTTCTGTTGCTTAACTGAAAGTTGATTGGGAACAGAACAACTGGAAGATAGTGATTAGTAGTTTTGTATGATATATCGGAATTCTGGGAGGGATTGCCTCTTCACTTATCATTTTATATTGCTCTTGGCGAAACTTGGTGAAAAAATAATAGAAGTAAGCAAACAAGTAATTCATACACTTGGACCTGTGAGAAAAGGAAATGAAAGCCAGCAAATACTTCATTGAATTTGACTCTAACAAATCAGATACACTCTCTTTGTGCATTTAATTTCCCATATTTTTATTCATCTGTTTCTTGTCCATTGGTCTCTTCTTAGTGCTACCCCCATTTTATATGCAGCTTCTGTTCTTCCTATGGATGAAGTCATAAGTTGGGCACATGATGTTGGAGCAAAAGTGCTTGTAGATGCTTGTCAAAGTGTCCCACACATGGTGGTCGATGTTAAGAATCTAGACACTGATTTTCTTGTTGGTTCCTCTCATAAGGTTAGGACAATGCCATGTACTATATAAGTGGTTCTCCATTGAGTAGCAGAAATTGAGGTTAAACATGCTTCAGATGTGTGGGCCTACAGGCGTTGGATTCTTGTATGGAAAGAGCGAGATCCTTTCTGGCATGCCTCCTTTCCTTGGTATGTAACTTCTCCTTAACTTTGATTCTCAACAAGAAAATTCAAAGCCAAGCATCTTTTACCGACAATCCGCTTCTTCAGCTCGGAGTTCTTGTACTTGATAAATCTCATGCCATGTGTAGAATGATTATAACATATTTAAATGTGGTTTTATCATTGATTAATTCTCAAAAAAATGATATTTAACTGTGATTTCAGTCAAGCAGTTTCTTAACTTGTGTTCCTATCCCTTGAATTACAGGTGGTGGCGAAATGATAGCTGATGTGTATTTGGATCATTCCACTTATGCTGAACCTCCTTCGAGGTTTGTTTCTTTTTCCCGTGTTCCTATAGAATTTTCTGGCAATACTTTGACAACTAGCTAACTGTTCTTTTGTCCATTCAAGCTGAACTGCATCCAATGCCTGCCTTGAACCATGATCCTGGAATCTTATTGAGTTGTTATGATTTTAGTTTATCTACTTCTCCATTTTCATCATCTCTAGATATTACTACCATTACATATAACCTCAAGCTGTGTTTCTTGGATCCTTTTCTTGCTCCACTTATATTGAATAAAGTACTGTCTGCTAAATATAATAGCACTGGTCGCTTCCATCGTCAAGATAGATCAACTTGGAAACTTCATCTTCCCTTCATTGTCATTGGTTCCTATTACTGTTGGGGAAATGTTATATCTCGATTCTGTGATCATCATACTATGCTTCTATGTCTTAATTTTTCTCCTATATTATTTTTTCCCTTTTGGTTTTGGGGGGGGGGGGGGGGGGTATGTTTTAAGTTCTATACGTGACACTGCTAATCAAAGCCTCTATGCTGATGACTTTGATTAGCCCTTCTCATCTTATTATTATGTCTAAATTCTTTTTAACTTTATATTGGATCTGGAAATAATACATAGACCTGGATCTTCAGTGTTGTGGCTAAAGCTCAATCAGCTACGAGTAATTTTTAAATCAAAGTTCTCTTCTAAGTTTCATCTTCTAACCCTTTTTGTAATTGGGATCAGATTTGAGGCTGGGACTCCCGCAATTGGAGAAGCAATTGGGCTTGGAGCTGCAATTGATTATCTTTCTGAAATTGGCATGCAACAGATTCATGATTATGAGGTGGGCCTTTTATCCCGTAACCTCATATTCATGAAAGAGACATACTTTTACACTCTGTGAAATTCATGCATCCGTTTACATTTCCGTTTGCTAATTTCCTTCTTCCATATGGTAGCATCTAGATTACCTATCCCCCCTCCCCACCCGCCAGCCACACACAAATAAATAACAATAATAATAGATGGTTGCGCACAAATTTGTATGAGGCAAAAAATGTGCCACACTTTTGCGCAAAAAATGCACCACACTTTTGCATTATACTGAAGAGACTCTAAAGTAGTGGTTGGATTATGTTTACTGCTCTTTGAATTTTCTAGTTTTTAAGCTCCAGCTTCAAAGAAGACTTTGAGAAACCGTCTTCCTGGGTTTGTGGCTTCCAGTATTTGCTACTAAGTATGACGATCCGCCACATCATCATGCCACATAGACCCCCCATAAGTGCCACATGGAACAAAGTTGCTCACGCTAGTTTATAGTGGAAGTTCTAGAGATATGTGGAGAAATCCCTTGGAAGACTTTACCCACCCAGGATGCCTTATAGCAAAAAGAGGAATGTCGCCAACAAGAACTAGGAGGTGCCGCTCGAGGTTGAGCCAAATGAAAGGCTGACATCCCAAGAACCTTCTACCACTGAGCAAGGATGATGTGGAAGTCCTGCCCGAGGACGTCTCGCTCGGTAGAGAGTGGGCCATGAAGGTTAATGCGGGGATTGACTCTATCGAGATATTTGGCCAATGCTTAGGGAGAGTAGAAGTCACTCTAAGCGTTCTTGAGAGGCATACCCTTGAAGAGATTGAAAGCATCTGAAATGACTTGGATGAGCGTACACAGACCGAGGTAGAGATGAGGCAGACCATCGCTACTTTAGAGTGCAAACTCAGGGAGGCGTTGAGCACTATCGATGCCATGAAGGCAAAGATGGAGGCACCGAAGAACATGTCAACACTGGCGTGACTGAGACCGCAAGAAATATTGTCATGACGAGGCAGGCAAAGATCGAGGCTTCCAAGCCACCAGTGTTCAAAGGGGTTCGTGATACACAAGAAGTAGAGTACTTTCTTTGGCACTTGGAGAACTTTTCCCGACATGGAAATGTAAGGGATGATGATGCCAAGATCAACATTGTGGTGTTGTATATGTCAGAGATTGCCATGCTATGGTGGGGACGTAAATCGACTGATGCTAAGAGAGGTTTGTGCACTATCAACGCATGGGATGAGTTCAAGGTCGAGTTCAAGCGATAATTCTTCCTAAATAATGTCGTGTACAATGCAAGAAGAAAACTTAGAGAGTTGAAGCACACAAGGAGCATACTGGACTACGTTAGGGAGTTCATGACCCTTACGCTTCAAATACCTGACCTCACTAGTGGTGACATAATGTTTCACTTTATGGAAGGGTTGCAAAATCGGGCTAAGTAGGAATTGCAACGCTGACGAGTATGGATTTCAAGAATGAGAAGTATGACAAAGACAGGCGATAAGTCAGAGGATGGCATTGCTAAGGGTGGATGAGGCTGTGGTAAAAGCAAGGAAGTACATCAACAACACCACAAGACTCGAGATACCCACAAATTTGATCAACAACCACACAAAGCAAGGAAGTACATCAACAACAACACAATGTCATACCTTGATCGACCCTATCTCCATTGTCTATGGGTCATGGAATGAGAATGAGCTTGTATGATGCCTACTATTACTATACCACAAACAGAATCAAGCACATCTTTAGGCTATACAACTTGTGAAGGGGCTCAAGATGGAAGGGTCGATGTTCTTGGAAACCAATGCAAGTTTTGAGGGCGACAAAAACAAAAAGCCATTTTCGTGTTCCACATCCATTGGAAGGGGAAATCATCAGAAGAAGCTACACGAGAACAATATGAAGACCAGTGGATATTCAAAGATAAGACACGAGAGTTTGCACAGTAGTAATGCGCCATGGTCGTCACAACATCAAGTGGGGGAAAGTATGACAACCTGCCACATCATTACACCACATAGGTGCCACATGGAACAAAGTTGCCCATGTGGAGGGCTTACATAGGAATAATGCTAGTTCATAGTGGAAAGTTTAGAACTTTTAATTAAACAAATCAAAACTTCATATTAATGAATAAATTTTTTACATCAACATCCAACATGACGTATTTCAAACAAATGTCTAACCTCTTATTAACTAGAACTGATTCTTACTTTTATAAATAATAATGAGTATTATTATGTGAAGTTAAGCGCTTAATGTCTTTTAAGAATATACCTTAAACACAAGTAGTATATAAGAACAAAAAAAGATAATCCTAAATTAATAATATTTTGTGTGTGTATGTATTTAAGACCTCTTATTATAATATGGCTTTAGGCCACTTATTTTATTGAAACGCCTTTTAGAAGAAGTCCCGAAAATTGGCACAACTAACTCTATCCAGTATGGATGTTGTCACTAAATGTAGATTAATGCTTATCTTTAGAATCATCTAGAACCTGAGTGAAGTTAATCAATCAACAACATCCCGATAAAGAATGATTTTGGTGATATGTTTCTTCCCATTTTCATGTTCTTCCTCAGATGGAGCTGGGTAACTATTTGTATGATCGTCTCTCTTCTGTATCTGATGTTCGTATTTATGGGCCTGCACCTTCACGAACTGTTAAGCGAGCGGCTCTTTGTTCTTTCAATGTTAAAGATGTTCACCCTACAGATATCGCAACCTTCCTTGATCAACAGGTATGGGAAATAAAACTCCATCTAGCTCTTGCATAGCTACAATTTTTCTCTTAGAAAAATGAGGGCATTTGTAAGCTAGTCCACTAGAGCATGTGTGTTATTGGTTAAAAAGTCATGTAAATGAAATATTTCTAAATAGCAATGTTTTCTACAGCATGGTGTAGCTATTAGATCAGGTCACCATTGTGCTCAACCTCTCCATCGACATTTGGGAATCAGTGCGAGCGCACGAGCTAGCCTTCATTTCTACAATACTATAGACGACGTTGAGAGATTCATCGATGCACTCAAGGACACAATCAACTTTTTCACTTCTTTCAAATGAGGGTATTTTTTGTTCTCTGACGTACCTTAAGGCAAATGTAATATAAACAAAAAACTTATAATTATCTCAATTTAAAGGTGTGATTCATGAATAAATTGACTTTGAGGAGTTAGATTAATACTTGACATTATTGTAAATTAGATACTGCTATCAATTACTCAATATCATTCATTTCATCTAAAACTCCTACTATTAAGCTATACTCCATAAGTTTGGCGGTCACTTGTGCAATACGCTCTTCTTTGGTGACTTTGCTTTCTTTGGAGACAGATTCTGCCACAACATTCAACAAGAAACTGGTTAGTGAAAGCCAAAATTTGGAATGCAAATTGTATGTGGGCTTCATCAGCGAAAACATACACTCACCTTCTGTCTTGTCAAAGCCTCATAGTCAATCCTGTCTTTCCACTTACTCTTCTGAAGTTGAACTGGCCGGTTCCCAACATACTTCCCTGAAATCAGAAAGATTTTACCTTGTCACTTAGGGATTCGAGCAATGAAAGTTCGATGGAAAGTATACTGCTGGTTAAATAACTATGACAACAACAAACACATCCATTTTGCAAAGAAACCTAAGAAAACCACACTGCTCAAATACTCTAAACTGAAAGTTCCCCTTCCTTGTTTTCCTTCACCTAATTTGACTTCAACAGCACACTCCTAGTTGTTGTGGTGCTGGGTCATCCAGCAAGTCTTCTCGCATTGGGGGAGGGGTTTGCAGATAACACTCTTCCGTCGGGCCAAATCTTTTGACCTTATGACATCAAACAAGGGATAGAAAGAGACCATATAAGGCATCAACAAACAGAATAAACAAGGAAAATTTCAGATCCATTTGGTTATCATCCCATACCATTTCGGTCTGGTGATCTTCAAATGTCAAGCTATGCCATTAAGACGTCGATTATATTAATGTAGCAGAAGCAAAGTAGAGACTATGCCTTACAAATATGGAAAGACCACTTACCATTCATTTCTTTAAGTGCCACGACAAGGTCTGAAGGGTTGGAAAAACTAACAAATCCATATCCCTTGGTCTTACCAGTCCGCTTGTCTCTCACGACCTGTCATGGAGTTAAGACATTACAAGAACGATGAATGTACTTAGAAACATTCTTCAGTTTAGTGCTAACATGTGCATGGAAACTGTGAACATATACAGTCTAAACAACAAACAGGAAAAGAGAAAAACACTATACATGCTGAGGTGAGCAGTACAAGTTTGGTTCCATCCAAGAGCCCAACAATAGCCTTCCCCCACATCACACACAACACCATTCTGAAATTCTTTTCCCCCCTTTTTTAATAAATCGAAGCTCTCCCCCATATTCATGAATGTCTTAAGATATGGACAAAAACGATAAAAGATAGAAGAAAAATTATAGACATGAAGACCTCCACTCCTTGATGATGATCATCAGAAGTTGTCAGTTCGTAACAACATACCCAATGTAGTCACACAAGTGAGGGTATGATGTATGTAGACCTTACCCTATCTTTGTGTGGGGTAGAGAGGTGGTTTCCGATAGACCCTCGGCTCGAAAGACATGTAACCGACACAAGTCCATGTTTAACAATTAAAAGTATCACTAATGGAAAACATGAAATGATGATAAAAGAACTTACCCTAGCCATGTTAAAAGAAGGAAATCTTGAAAATGCTTTTGATAAAACATCATCATTCACCTCATTCCCAAGGTTACCACAGAATAGCCGAAAATCATCTGCATGACCCCAATAGTCAATTTAGTCAGCCAACTAATAGAATTGAGTCAACTGACAACCATCTTACAACAAAAGCCCACAATCGAGCAAACAGAGCACAAGATGAAGTGCTAAGAAAGTCATATGGGGAAGTTAGACAATCATTTGCAGGGCAGGTATGCATTCATTATAGTATTTGCATCAAACTTTATGTTGCTTACACTGCAGCATTGGCCTCAAAAGAAAAGGCTTCCCTCCCCTCTACCGAAAACCTTTGGCAAATATAGAGTGCATCCCCCCGTATACGATAAAATATTTTTCAATACTCAGTTCTTTCATGTCGCCTGAACTATGATCTTTGGTCATGCATCTCCCTTCCAAACATATTTAGTTTTCAAGGGAAGTTGGATCAAAATATGCAATGACACTTATTTTTATTTTCCTAAATGATCGACACAGGTGTAAGGTGACATTCACCATTCATAACTGTTTTTCCTTAAATTTCCAGACCTTCAACTGCATGGTAATTTACTGGTTTAGCACTTTCCCAAACTCCAGACCTACAATTACACAGTTATCCAGAACATCACAGCTTTGACATTCTTATTAGCACTGCAATAACCCTTCATAAGAAGATACTACTTAACTCAATTCATGTCTAAAACTATCCGGAACTCGAGGAAACCAATTGGAACAACCACACTAAACAGAATTCAAGTGTTTTAATTGGGTAAACACAGAATTCAACCATTTGACACAAATTTGAATTGGAAGAAAGAATTAAACGGAGCAAGCGAGCTTACTCTCTGGCCACTCTGCAAGAGTAGGATCTTCCCAAGTCTGTCCTGCTGCCTTTCGAGGCACAGCTTTCTTTTTCACCTCAGCTTTTTGCTCAATCTCACTGCTTGCAAGTGCAGCTTTCACATTCTCAATTGCCTCGGGCGTGATTGTTTGTACAACTCTTTGAAATAGTTGCTGCGTCTGCCCATTAGAATTAGGCACGTTAGACACATTGCTAAGTAAATCTTATCTTTTCGAGAGGAACAAATTGCAAGTTTAAAAAACAATATGGATAAAGATGTACAGTGGCTCTACTTCAAATACTTCAATGAAGAATTTTCTTTTCCCATTGGCTTGCTAACGGGGAACTAAGAAGCATGCAATTTGTGTAAACATATAAAAAATTTACACAACAGGCATACATTCATGTGTACACATATGATGGATAAAACTCACCAACCAAGATATCTTAATAAGTACAATCAATTACAGAAGAAATAGCATTGGCATTATACATACACACACACTCAAACTGGCAAGTAACCATTCGAACTTTAAGAGTACCCATCTAGACACCTCAACTTGGTCTCAACGATCAACTAAACACTCAAACTTGTTCCCACTGTCTCTCGTAGACACCCGATGCTAATGTGACATATAAATTTTGGAAGTGTCTAAATAATCATTTTGTAAATTGGAGTGTTCAACTGACATAGTGGAGAGCTAAGTTTGGAGTGTTTAGTTGCCCGTTGAGGCCAGTTTTGAGTGTCTATTTACGTATTATGCCAATAATATTACGATTCTTACTCTTACATTACATACGAGCCACTAATGAGTGAATAATGCATCTGAAAAATTAACTCTGTTTTTTCCTCCCTATCTCAATCCAAGTCAGTTCATCAAGAGTAAAATTAATGTAATTACTAATCTACAAACAACAGGTCGAATTTGTTTTATAAGAATCAATTCTTACAAAAAAAAATAGTTCAAAATTGAAATACTTACCTGCAAATACTGAGGTAAAGAGTAAACGTCGGGAACAGCTGCCGGAGCAGAATAGACAGGAGGAACAACGGGAGGAGCAATTGGCGAAGGAGCAGAGCCAATGTAGGGCTGCGATGGTTGTTGTTGGAGATGAAACGGCGTCGGAAAGTATGTGCCGTTCAAGTAATTGTATTGCGACGAAGTCACCGTCGACATAATAATTACCGGTGGACGGAAATGAGAAAGGAGATTTTCCGATCGGTGAATTTAAGGGCTTGTTTGGATAGATTTTGCAGTGATAATAAAACGAGTTCATTCATCAAAAATACTGAAAAAGGACCATTTGAGGTGAATGTAGAGAGTTCTAGAAATATTCTTTCTAGAATCTAGAAGAAACTAGAAATGGAAAAAAAATTATAGTCTCAATATATGTGATATTTTTCTAAAATTGATCATTTTCGTAACTTTAAGGAGAATATTAAAATTAATCTATTTTCAATTATACAAATATAATATTCTTTTGTGATAAACTCAAAGCGAAAGTATATCACGTAAATTGAAACAGAATGAATATAAGCGTGGATACATGATTTAATTTGCTTGTGCATGGATACAACTCGATTAAAAAAATAAATATAATATATCAAGCAAAATTGCATGTGTTGATACAACTAGATTAATCGAACACATACAAATATCTGACAAAATAAATAGATACATAATGAATAGATATAGCTTCAAAATAATAGTTATAAATCATAACGAGACAAACTATAGTTGCTAGTACTAATTATAACGCAGACTATAGTTTACCAAGTTTCTTCAAAATACCTTATTTATATTTATAGGTGGAATATAGGATACAGTGTAATTGAAAGTGGGCTAAAAGCCCATATTTATGGGCCGATAGTATAAGTTGAGAAGTGGGCTAAAAGCCAAAAATTTATGGGCCTCCAATGTAGATTGAGAAGTGGGCCGAATTAGTTTAGTAGTATTTGGGCCTCCATGTAGCTGCCTTCTCAATTTTCTTTTGTATATATACCCGCTTCAGACAAGCGATAAATGAAGTTAGATTTGATAAAATCAAACTTCAGACACAACGTTTGAAGTTATATATGACTGGTGTTCATTAGCTTTGCTTGAAGCTCAGCTAAAAATAGTTGGATTTTTGTAATTTTTGCTTGACTTAAGCTATTTCAGTTTGAAGTTTATGCATATATGGTTGAAGTCAAGCAAAAAAGACGGAAGTCAATCATATCATATATTACTGAAGTTCAAGCAAAACTAGCTTAAGTGTGGCAAAATTAAAGTGGTTCATCGTCAGCCAAATTTACCTGAAATTTAGCGTACAAAGCTTCATTTATTATGTCTCGAGTTAGACTTTGTCAAAACTAATTTCAGACACAAAGTAAATACGTGAAAAATAATAATTCGTCAATCTCTAGAATGATGTACAACACCTACTTGCAAAACAAAAATCATAAAACTAAAGTTATATTACTACTTACTAGTAGTTTCTAAAATTAAACTTCCAACTTTTTATTTATTTATTTATAGAAAAATGTGAAGAACAAAATTTGAAGTGGTGTGGACCACATTTTCCCCACACCAAACAATGTTCTTCATTATACAAAATTATTATTAAAATTTCCTCCTCAAAATACCAAAAATATTATTATAAAAAAATAAAATGAAGTGTTATGGAGTAATTATTAGTACCCCTTATATAGCAAACATACGATAAAGCCAAAGATGGAAAAAAAATTGCATGCAATTGTACGGACAAAAGGATCATGAAGATCGAACGGTCTTTATTAATCCACGTGTCAGCATGGCAAAGGTGAAGCCGTTGATTTGAATTTTTTCGAAAATCGAGCCGACAAGCAGTACAAGTTGACACGTGGGAGACTAGACAAGCTGTGGGGACCACAAAGAGTACGTGTCAGCATTGTACAACACGTTACTCCCGTAATTTGCGGGAGCTATATTTGCAGACAGCTAAGCCAGGTAGCCCGAGGATAATAAGTTAAAATGGTTTAACCGACGAGATTGTGATAGCGTGATAAATATTTCTTCGTTTATGAAATAATATATAATAATCATTCAAATACCAGGTGAAAAATCAAAATTAAAAGTTGAAATGCATTTTACCTCAACTTTTAATGTTATAACAAACTCAAATAATTTGACTCCTATTGTGATGACTTGATAAGTACTTTTCCATTCTTAATTAGTGATTTCGAATTTGAACGGTGAGTAATCATCTTTGTGAGGAAATATTTTATTCTCTAAGTGGAATTTTTCAATGTGTCTCCAGATTAATTAGGACGCAAAGCATATATCGAATAACAGATGAGAAATCAATATAAAAAGTATAAACATATTTTTATTTAGAAGAGAAATAATTTAGTGTCATCAACATGAGTTGTGGTGCAATGGTGAGTTGTTCTTATCTTAACTAACGGTCTCGAGTTTGAACCTTGAATTTGGAGAAAATCCTATTGAAAATGTTACCTCAAAATGAATCATATATTATGTGATTCAGATCTAGTCGATACTTATGTGCGGATTTCAAATACCAAATGAGAAAAAAAAAAAATAATCAAATCTCACTAGAGAAAAGCAACCACCGTCTTTCACACCCCCACCTCTTTGCACCCATTTGTACAAATTGTCTTCATGTCATTGAACTCTTAAACATTTGTACTATTTAGGGTAGTCATGAAGTGATTCAATCAATATATATATATATATATATATATATATATATATATATACCCCACACTATATTTTTACACAAATTATAAAAAAATATCTCACATTATTAAAATTATTTATTATTTATGTATTTTATTGCTCAAATTAAATTTCACATGACTAATCTCTTTCCTGAGCTTCTTTCCATGCAAGATTTTGTTGTTCATCTTGTATTCCTAAGATACTTAGAACAAAACTTTGAAAAACTTGGTAAGAAACAACAAAGTTTAAAGAATATTTTTAAAACTAGAAAATTAAAACTAGTAGAGAAAATAGAATTAGAAACAGATTAGAAACAATATATAAAATATTTTTCTCAAAGAAGAAAATCGAGTCCACTGAATGCATGATGTCCCCTTAAGGAAATTATTCTCCTTAAATACCCGAGATTAATTAATGAAATATATCCTCCCAGGATAGCACAATCTTACTCACCGGTGTATCGATACCTAAAATCATGGTCTCAGCGAACCACTCAACGATAGTAAAATACACTTAGAATACTAGATTTAGTAGTAGTAGAAGAAGTCCATAAAATTCATACTCTTAAATAAGAGGAAATCCCTCAATTTATAGAAAACAAAGGTAGTGTGAAAAAGTTCTTATTGTGACGTACCGGAAATGTCACAACCCTTTGGAAAAATCACAATCTTTCATAAAAGTCACAACTTTTCATAAAAATCACAACTTTTCATAAAAATCACAACTCTTCATAAAAATCGCAACTTTTCATTTTCCATTCACACCTTTTAAAACCAACAGATTTGATATAACATGTTGAATTTATCGAACTCTAAAATACTCTTAACATGTACTCATTATTTTTTCTTATAAAATATTATAACTTTGAATGTATATGAGGAACGACAAATAAAAATTAAAAGGAGTTTTATTTTGAAAATGATATTTTGTGAACTAGAAAAAATTATCAAATACGTAAATAAGCTAATTAAATACTTATAAGCCAGTTTAACCGAATAGATATCCTCATAGTGTATTTTTTATTTTATTTAGTAAATTATCATAAAGATTTGTTTATAATTATTATTTCACGTAATTTAATTATATAAATATTTTTATATTGTAAATAAATACATAAAATTATAACACTTTGACAAGACACCTCTTTCTTTTGTCTGTTTAATGGAGTCTGCACATAATTATTGGAGCACATCATATTTTATTCCTATAAATATTCATCTTCAAGATTTTTCAGTAGTAGGATCTTGCACCAAAACAAGCTAATTAGCCAATTTCAAAAGAACATTCTCATGAGGAGATTAATAAATTAGACTAAAAAAATAAAATTAATTGATACACAAAATATCTCGCGTTAGTAAAATTTGGGGAAATACCACACTCTAAAGTTTATGATGTAGACAACTTATCCTAATACAATTATTAATAATTGTTTTCATAACTCAAACTCATGATTTAAAAATTACATAAAAAATAATTTTATCATTCCTTCGAGGCTGATTAAAGGATGTATGAGCCCTATTAGCAAAGATGTGAGGAGTAAAAATAATTGATATTAGTAAGGTGTCAATTTCTAAAACTTTTATAAGATCTCAAAGGATCTATACTAACAATATTTAAATCTCAAATCGAGATATGTGTGTTTTTGTCTTTTAGTTTGATTAAATTTATATATTATAAGTCAATACCTAACTATATGTTGCCCTTTCCATATAGGCTCCTCTGCTATCCACTAATATTCTAAATTTGTCCTCTATAAAAGAACCAAATTAGTTTATTTGTGATACTATAATTGCACCAAATAAAGAGGTAGTGGGGGAGCTATATAGTTAATATAAGATTAAATAATCAACTTTCCAAATTAAGTAAATAAGAATCTAGAATGTTCAATAGTTTTTATGCATTTTTTTAATTTAGAATTAGATATTTACATTAGTTCAATGTGTAGAATCAGAGAATATGAATTCAATCTTATACATACGCAAGGAAGGTAATTCAAAAAGAAAGATAATGATATTTTTTTATCATTAAAGAGTCGTATGAGATAAAAGTCTCATACATAATTTTGAAATTTAATATTTAAAAATTATATCGTGAATAACTAGAAATGTGGAAACAAAATCAAATAAAATTTGATCATTATGAACGAATCCGCAAATTCCACAACGAGGTAAATCACGGTCCGCAATACATACAATTCCATATTCCAAACTCGAGTCCAAGATTTATGAATAAAAATAAAGAGATACTTACGACTCCACAACAACTCTTACGATAATTAGTTTCCTTACATTACAATTGGCATAAAATCATGTATGGGATAAAGAGATTAAGCTAGTGGTCATGCATAGGGGAAGAATCTTTTTAAAGCAATTATTGGGGATTTAAGTTATAAATATAATAATATTGAATAAAGTTCTTGTTCACTCTATCAATGTAATTTAATTGAGTATATTGTAACATTACTAAAAATTATCTTCTTTTTTTACGCAGAATCATTTCCAACGAGCAATATTCTGAAGGAGTGTTGTTCTTAGAAATAAATCATGCAATAAATAAATTAAAATTCACCAAATATCGACCAAAAAATTAAAATTTTAAAAACTATTTAATAGCTAGCATTTAATTATTTGGAAATGAGAGGACTAAAAGTATGTACGTAAATATATAGTACTCCATTATTATTTTTAATAGACAAAAGCTATTATGATTTCTTCTGTTAGTAGATGAAATTGCATTTATCACTAACTATCTGCTTATATTCATATAGTCAATGAAAATATGAGGTTCAATTATGATTACTATATTACTCGGAGTCTTTAAAATTATCATTTTATTTGTATCAAATTTTTAAAAATTTGATACACATTCATAAGCATTTTTTAAAAGCTTGAACACCTAATATTACCTGAGGAACAATTAATAGAAAAATGTATATTTTGATTGAGCGAAGACTATTCTATTTAGGTAGACACTCTTTTTTTATAAAGAGATCGCTGAGTTCAACTTTCTTCCGAGAATGAGATATATATTGTGTTTATGCACTGATTGAATTGAAGTTCAAATTTTGGCAACTTCAAAAGACAGATTTGAAAATTTTAGTTATGTCTATCACGACTAGGCCATTTTAAAAATAACTACAACTAATTAATCGTTTATAAAAAGTGAAATTACTTTACCTAAATTAAGATTATAAGTTACAATTGGTGTAACATGTTAAAATGCATATGCATTATATTTGTATTATATGTAACGGGTGGATAGAAACACTCAATTGTGACATAACTAATTTAAATTCTAGCAACTTCGAAATAAAAATTTAAAAATCCTAATTATGTTGTCACAACTAGATCATTTAAAATAGGGAAAATTGTATATAATAGAAAACTATTAATTCAAATTAAATGTTATAAATATAGTTTGATTTAATTGTACATCATAACAAACTGTTGCTATTTCACCTCTCTCCTGGTGAATCTCGCTCGCCACTCTCGTTCTCTCCCTCGCCTCTCTCGTTTTTTATATAAACACAAGTGTATAAAGTGCGTTTGTGTTTGTATAAAGTGAGAGAAAATTGTATATATACATATATATTCGTTCCCCTCTCTCCCCTCTCCCAGATCTC